ATTTTCTTCTGTCAGATGTCAGTGAAGAGTTGCAGTGTTTTTAATTATCAAATAAAATAAAGATCATGTAAGTTGACTGTATGCTTTCGGTATTGAAAAACTGCTCCTACCACAATTCGTATTGTTCCTCTTGTTTCGTAACCATAGCCTAAAGTGGTAAACACATATTTGTTGTCAGAAAAACTGAAGTATCTCTGTGAAATAACACAGTAGAATCCCTTGATCCCTCCCATCAGTAAATCCCAGTGTGCTGAGGCTTGAGCGAGCATCTCGTGTTGACAGCTTCATCCACATTTCATGCAATTCCCTCCAATCTTTGCCTCTTTCCTGAGCAAAATAAACCCCTCCACTTCGGAAACACGAGGGGTTGCCAGGCAACCGGAGCAGAGAGGCCTAGGAGCAGAAGTGAGGGATCAGCAGTTGCCGCCCCTCAGGTCCCTGCACTGATGCTAGGCTAAGGAGAGCACATACACACTTTATTTACACACACACACACACACACACACACACACACACACACACACACACACACACACACACACACACACACACACACTGTAGCCTATGTATGTGTGCCGCACACTGACAGAAGGCTTGTTGAAGGCCGCAATAAAAAGACTGCATTTACAGCTGAATATGAATTCTCGCAGAGCACTAACTTTGCTGCTTGTCCCTTAGCATCATCAGAAATCAGATTGTCAAAACTGCGTTTTGGTCTTGGCCATTCCCATCTGTGAGCTTCCAGCTGGAGTAAGTGCTTCGGTGAGTGCGACAAAAAGACACATCGCTTACTTCGAAAAATAATATTGCACTGTGAAATATTCATCACATCATGACAGTCTTGAGAACGTGGCATTTTAGCTCCCCCCCCTTACACAGGCTTAATGTGGGGCACGGCCTCCTCTCTGAAATCCAGCGAGCGGGGAGGTGTCAAGAGGAAATCTAATGGAGCACAACGATGGGGAAACAGGGTCAACCAGGAAGCTGCACCAAGTTCAGAGGCAGAATACCACTCGGAGGAACCCACCCCAGGGAATCTAAAGTGACTACAGACATAACAGAAGTGCAATAATGTTTTAACATGAGCTTCACCTCACAAGCCCAAACTATCCCTATTTCAACCCGTTCAACGTTATTGCTACTGTATGTAGAGAAGAAAACATAGAAGAAGATAAAAAACACTTTGAATGAAGAGAAGCTAAATGTTACATACTGGAGAAAATGTCACAATTTTAAGTGTATAGGGTGACCAGTGTGGGACAAAGAGCACGTTTGTGCGGGACAATGTGGGCCATGTTACTGCGTTGCTAAGAGCTAGTTTTGATTTAAATATAATGTCTATCCAACCCTTGAAAATAAAGATTTTGACTGAAACTATTAGCTTATAGATATAAATAAGAACGCTTCACTATAATTAAATTGTTTGCACAAACTACGCAAGTGAAGGAATTAAATATATTTGTTTTGAATGGAATTATTTTCCAACAAACTCTCATCTGTAATTATTCTCGTATTCTTTTGCAATCTCCAAGTCTTGAAAAATGACTGTTGACCTGTTGGACCGAGTGCTGCACAGTGTGGTAAACGTTAATTAAATCAGCTGCTGTTACCTCATCTGTTTAGTATTCCTCTTTTAGTTTTAGGAGGAATATATCCATAGATCAATATTTTCTTTATGGGCCAGGCGTTTCTTGTGAGTTTCTTCGCTTCAAAACGTATTCACCTCCATGCACAATTGAAAATAAATCTTGGCAAATCTTTAAAAAAAACTCTGGGAATCGCCCTCTACCGGCTAAACCCATAAGTAAATAAATTTCTCGGTTGATTGGTTGACATCTGACACAGCTATTGGTGATAGCCCTCTCTTTTTTTCTAAACATCTTTGGACAAGAGACTTGTTTTAGAAGGGCAACTGTCAATACAATGCGGGGACGTCGGCTAAATGTATGGGACAAATGAAAAAAATGGTGTGCAGTCCCGCACAAAGCGGGACACCTGGTCCCAGAGTGTAATGTAAACTTGGTCGAACACAGTAACAGACCCACAGACAATTGTATTCCTATACTTAAGCTAAATGAACCATTCAACAGTTATTCAGCGCATTGTTTAAAACCCTTTAACTGCCAGCACCACCATTTGGTAGAGCACATTTTGCGTCTTGATATCTTTTTGAAAAAAAAAAAAAAAAGTTTAACTCCATCTGATTCAGCCAGCTCTACCCTTTGGTTGACATGTTATGCACAAAACAACCTCTAGATGTCACTGTGGTTCAAACAGAAGGCCCTTCAGCTAGCTTCAACTGAGAAAGTTGGCAATGCTAAAAATCACTGCTGAAGAAATCATTATTTTTGGTCAACTTTTGTAAGGGAAACATATCATTTTTGACATATTTTAGTGGCGGGGCACTGACTGAACATAATTAGATAACTTGATGCACAAAAAAAGTTTTAACAAGGGTGTAATTATTTTTTGGAAAATATGCTCAACCAATCGGTCGAATTGGCCTTTTATGGTAGGCTAGCAATATGACTTTTTCAGAGTTTCAGAGATGTTTTCCAATAAAATATGGTAAATAAATGGCTAAATTCATGGTAATATTACTAAATCTAGTACTGCCTTATGAGTCTCAGAGTGAAAGAGTGATAATAATTTATATAGCACCTTTCATGCATGGCATTCAGCCCAAAGTTGCACACAGATGAGCAAGTTAGGCCAACACAGGATATGGACATGTGCTGTTAGGCCAGTGGTTTCCTGTTAGGCCAATTCAGCAATATACAGTAAGATGAGCAAGTATTATTTTTATCATGAAAAACAATTTACATTACTTTTTTCCATTTTTTTTTTTTTTACAATTATAATTTATTATCTTTATAATCACACCACACACACACACACACACACACACACCACGGACGACACCACACCACCACACACACGGGGCAGCGACGGAACACACGCCACACCAACACACCACACACACACAACACACACACACACACCACACACAAACACACACACACACACACACCACACACACAGTCGGTCATTGCTGTCCCAAACACGTGTTTCTTCCTCTTCTCTCTTCTCGATGCACCTTTGGTTTTGTGATGCTGTGTGACTCTTTGTGTCCCTATTGTGTGTGCGTGCGTGTTGTGCGTGTGCGTGTGTGGTTGGTC